CTTAGGCACTATGCCAGCAGAGCTCCCAGACAACCTATAGTCAAGGGAATAATTTTCCCTGGAAGGATCTATGATTACTTGCTTGGAAACAATTAATATTGCTGACAGCTTTCATAAGGAGCCCTGGTAACATAGTGGTTAAGTGCTCAGCAGCTAATGGAAAGCTCAGAGCTCAAACCCAGTAGCCATCTCACAGGAGAACAGACCTGGCACTCTGCTCCCATAAAGATTTACTGCAGTTCTACTCTGTCCTAGAGGGTCACTGAGTTAAAATTGACTGGGTGGCCCAGAAGAACAATAACAACAACATTAGGTTTCATCAGTATCCTTTATAAAAACACCAGATAAAAGATCATTCATGTCTAAATATGGTTGAAATATTTTTGAAGCAGAAGAAATATCTATGAGGATAATAATAATTACATCAATAAAAGTGATAAGTAACTAGGTTTAGAAGATTCTATGTCCTTCTGCCAAATATGCCAGTGCTGTGGCTCCCTGAGTTGTACAAATGGTTACTGCACTCAGACCCTCACAGGAGGGTTTGGGGTTCGAGTCCCCCTAGAAGTACTTCAGGAGAAAGGCCTGGGACTCTCCTTCTGAAAAATCAACTCTTCAAACTCTATGGAGCTCAGGCTACGCTGACACACATGGGGTCCCCAGAAGTTGGAAGCAACTCAGTGCCACTAGTTCTGGGGTAAAGTAACTCAGCTTGGCACATCTGATACAAAAAAGGTCCTAGGTTAGTCCTGCCACTCTAACAGAAAATACCACAAGGGGGATGGTTTAAACAAACAGGACTTTATTCTCTTACAGTTTTGGAGCCTAGAAGTCTGAGTTCAAAGTGCCAGGCTGTAGGGCCTGGGTGAAAGCCCCTTGACCTTGGGCTTCAGCTCTGCCTCATGCTCCCAGCCCACTGAATCTGGAGGCTTTCTTCACTCAGACAGTTGCTGGCTGCTGAGGCTGACAAACCCAAGGTTGACAGGTAAAAAGGCACAGTCCTGCTATTACCAAACCACATGGCAGGCCATTGATTCAAGTCCATTCAGAGTCTCAAGATTGGCAGACA